TTCCAAAGTAGATAATAACTACACTTAACACACAGACAAAAACAATAATATTAACATTTAGTACAAAAGCCAAATACATGTCAACTATAAGCAAGATGAATCTTCACTTAGAAATATCATAAAGAAATACACTACCCAAGTTGACCCGAACAAGATAATTGAATTAATTATCCACTAAAAAAATTAAAACAACTAACCTTATCCTACAAACTTGCAAAATCAAAGCTACAAAGAACCAAGATTATTTATGAGTTCAAACGCCACTTAAGGAATAATTATATAGATCGCACTACTACATGCTTATCTATACGATTTACGTTACATTTACCCAACCACTGCTTCATTAGATCCCATTTAAACACACACAAAAACCTACCAGACTCCGTACTAGTATAAAATACAAGCACAATAAACTCATCTACATGAAAAAAATAATGGAACACTCACTAGCACTAACTATGAACACGGTGACAATGTGCTGACTGTGTTTGGGAAATAAAACATTCCTATAACTCTACATAGATACATAAAACAACCGATACAATTAGTTACAAGTAAAATAAAATCATTCTTGATAATTCTTTTGTTTGCAATTCTCTATGACCATTATTGTGATTCTCTATGACCATTATTAATTTACGCGTTTTATAAGCATATTCATTATTATTAGTAATTTTAATTTTAATAATGAATATGCTTATAAAACGCGTAAATTTCAGGAATTAGTTATTCCCAAAAAAAATTCGTTGAAGATGGAACAGAGCTTGGTACTTTAATTCAATTTAATTCAAATAATTATATTGAAGTTTTCGCCTTTTGTTTTGAAACATGAGAACTCTTATGTAGCATTGGAATCATATTTTTAAATAAATAATTATATATATATATATATATATATATATATATATATATAGTGTGTGATGGGTAAATTGTCGCCATTTTATATTTTTAATTTCGTGAATATGCGTTGCTTATTTTGATTTTGTCGACAATAGGCTCAGTTGTGTGAGAAAAAGAGCAATTCACTCAGCCTAAAATTTGGTCACGACATGCTGTACTGCTTGGCATTCATGCCGGTAGCTCCAATATCAACATTTCATAGTGTTTGCGTAACAATTTGATAACAGTTCAGAGTATTCAGAAAGATTTGGATGTCTTTAATGGTGATTACGAAGGTGTTTGGAGTAATCACTAATGATGGCGAGGTTATTCCCCCATTCATCTTCCCACAGCGATTCAGACACAACACGGTGGCCTAAATCAAGTTCTTTGAAGAGGCCATGCTGCCCTAGGTCAAGAGAGTGGATGAAGGGCGACAATATATCTGCAACAGGACTCTCCACCATGCTACACAAGCAGGAGAACCTAGGCATATTTGGGTCAATTTCTACGGCTACATCAACCCGTAAGTCTGACCCCCTAACTTCCAAGACTGCACCCCCTTGATCATTATGTGAGTGGCGCAGTTAACAGAGAGAGTCCAGCAAGATCCCATGTAACAACAAAGATGAACTGCAAAGGCAAAGATTATGGCTGTATTCACCAATTTAAACAATGAGGCCGTCCAGAAGAGTTGCATGAGATTCTTTAGTCGTCTGGAGGTCATGGTTGAGGCCAATGGCGATTTTATTGAATAAATTTACTCTTTAATATTTCAAGATATTTTTGTTAAAATGAGATGTCAGTTTTATTTTCATTTTTGTCTCATTTAGACGAAAATTTATCCATCACACCCTGTACTAGTGTTGTTGGAATCTCCAATCTAGTCTCTTCCTCATTAGTTAAACCTTAGACGTATTTATTCAAACAGTTACTCATTCTTGAGAGAATTTAACCAAGAAAGCTAAACAGATATCGTTTCCACAAGGATCAAAGACAACTTTATAGATAAAGACAGAGACGACTCTTTTAATTCTGGTAAATCTCGATCCGATAAAACACAAGTTGAGCTCCAAGTCTAATCTCTTTGTTTCGCCCACGCGTCTTTGTCTGGTGTTCTTTTAACTTTGCCTATTAACAAAAGACGGGTTAAGAATAAGGACCCTAAGAAAATGAGAGTAGAAAGAAAGCGAGTGTATGAAAAACAAAATAAAAAGGGACGGATGTGAAAAAAAAAAAAAGAACTATGGTGGAAATCATCAAAGAAAGAAAGAAAGAAAGAAAGAAAGAAAGAAAGAAAGAAAAGATGGTGTGTCAACTGGTTGGCAAGAAAAACTAAGAAAGAAAGAAAGAAAGAAAGAAAGAAAGAAAGAAAGAAAGAAAGAAAGACGAAAAGATAGAATGAATGAATGAAAGAAGAGATGGTAAGTCAAGTGGGTGGCAAGAAAAACTAAGAAAAAAGAAAGAAAGAAAGAAAGAAAGAAAGAAAGAAAGAAAGACGAAAAGATAGAATGAATGAATGAAAGAAGAGATGGTAAGTCAAGTGGGTGGCAAGAAAAACTAAGAAAGAAAAGAAAGAAAAGAAAGAAAGAAAAGACGAAAAGAAAGAATGAAATGAATG